AGGACCCGGATTGTTGGGGGCGATATGCTGACTCTGTAAACCGCTTAGAGAGGGCTGAAAGCCCTATGAAGCGGTATATAAGTCTAACTGCTAGTCCAATTTAGGCATGGATGCTGGCTGGATGGCTCAATCACCAGAAGACGGGGAGTTCTAGTTCTGCGTTAGGCATGAACGTTGGCTGGATGACGTTGGCTCAACAACCAGGAGACAGGGAGTTCTAGTTCTGCCTTAGGCATGAACTCTGGCTGGATGACGTTGGCTCAACCACCAGGAGACGGGGAGTTCTAGTCCAATTTAGGCATGGACGCTGGCTGGCTGGCTCAATCACCAGGAGACGGGGAGTTCTAGTCCTGCCTCAGGCATGAAAGCTGGCTGAATGACTGGCTCAATCACCAGGAGACGAGGAGTTCTAGTCCTGCCTTAGGCATGAAAGCTGGCTAGATGACTTTGTCTCAATCACCAGGAGACGGGGAGTTCTAGTCACGCCTTAGGCACGTAAGCCGGCTGAGTAACTTTGGGCCAATCACCAGGAGATAGTGAGTTGTCGTCCCACCTCAGCCATAACAGCCACCTGAGTGACTTTGGCACAATCCCCCCCAATGCATTCTGGTCGTGCCTTAAGCATGAAAGCGGGCTCACTGATTCCGGGCCAATCACCAGGGGAGTCTTGAGTTCTAGTCCTGCCTTAGTAAGCCAGCTGGGTGACTTCAACCCTTTCTCTCAGCCCAATCTGCCTCACCAGGTGGCTACTGTGAGGGAACTAGAAGGAAGAAGTAGTAGATATATGTTCACCACCTTGAATCATTTATTTTTTAAAAAAAACAAGGCGGTTAAAAATAATAAATGAATGAACATTTATTTTTGTGTCCCCGATTCAGCTTTCTTTTAGTCAAGGCTATTTGGGCAGCTAGGAAGAGAGAGAGAAATTTCCATTTATTTCAAGAAAGGAGACCACTCGGTGATCCAACAAGGCAGGCTGTTTGAGGGTGCAACTATGGTAACTTCACGAGCTGTCATACCTTTGAACGGTCACTGTCGTGAACTGTTGTATGTGGAGCACGGCTGGCTCAGGAATTCTGGGAGTTGAAGTCCACCGCTCATGAAGTGGTCATATTTGGCCACCAGTTAAAAAAATGGCGCCATGACCTACAGTGGACCACAATGGCCTCCTCCATATTTGGGGATTGCAGATATTAGAATAGCAGAGTNATGAGTTCTCAGATGCCATGTGGTCAGTTAAGTAAAGTTCCAACATTATCATGCCTTTACTCCCATCCCCCCGGGGCTGCAGTGGAGAAGTCTTTATTATGTAAAGTGGACTAGCCTGGCCTTCTCAATGGCCCATTGACAAAGTGGGGATGGGCAGGAAGCTTCAGTCTTTTAAAACATGTTTCTTTTCATATGCAGAGGAACATTCTGCTTTTTCAATATTTCCTAGGATATTTCATTTTTCTGGCAGAGGGCTGGATGATAACTTCCCACACCAGCATGGATGCTACACACAGCACAAAGGATCATTCTATATGAACCCCAGAACGAAATACAAAGCCTGTTGTCTTGTATTGTATTTGTGGTGCTTTCCAAATATCTGGGATTGGGACCAACAGCACCTTCACACACCTCTTCTAAATGATAATGGAATAAGAAAATACTTCTCCAGCTTCTCAATTCAGAGTGAGACCTTCCTAGACAGGTGATTGCCTTGACTTGAAATGGAGGCAATACAGCTGGAAATAGATCAACGATAAGGACAGCAAATATCTTGCTGGCAGAGTATTGCTTTATTCAGGTTTATGAGAAGGATTACAACACAGCAGTAGAGTATGGCCTGAGATGTCACAGAAAGAAAACATTCTGGCTGAGATAAAAGTCAGCATAAGGAGGACAGGGCAGATAGCAAATTTTGCTCTGTCACTCATTCTCTTATATTATATTTTGACGGAAGCCTATTGGTAATTCTGTAAACACTTTTCAATAATAGCAATATTGACAATGATATAGAGTAAACAGAAGCTATATTTCTGTTCAGCTGGAGACAGCTGATCGTTAGAATCTTGCTGCTTTAATACATCTTACAACCATTTTATCATCACTGTCTCTTTATTGCGTGACCCGACAAATGCGCGCCCGACAAATGCGCGCCGACAAAACCGCGGTGACGAAACCGCGACGTCAAAAGCGCGCCCACAAAAGCGCGATTAGGGTTAGGGTTATAACGTTGTTTTTGCGTCCCACTATGTTGTTTGTTGATGGCGCGCTTTTGTCGGCGCGCATTTGTTGACGCGGGTTTTGTGGGCGCGGTTTTGACATCGCGGTTTTGTCGGCGCGGTTTTGTCGGGCGCGCATTTGTCGGCGAACCCTTTGTTGACATAAACCGCATGATGCACAGTATAATGCCGCGCTTTTTTGAATCCTAAGTTTGAACTTAGATCACAGCTCCCTGCTTATAGGAGAAAAAAGTGTGTGTGAGGAGGGTAGATTTTTGTCTCAGCTTCTCATACAAGCAGACGTGGGTTCCTACCAGTTCGCACCTGTTCGGTAGAACCGGTTCGTCAAATCTACCGAACCAGTTAGAAGAGGTTCCACCAGTGGACCCGGAAAGCAGGCGACACCTACAGAAGAGGTTCCAAAATTGTTTGAAACCCACCACTGNCATGAGGTCTGTTCCTGAAGTCTATCAAAGATTCTCCTCTCTGAATGGAAAGTGGGAAAAACCCTTCAGCACAATCAGAAAACAGACCTTAAATCATCTATCCCCTTTGCTTACGACCTTCCCTGCTGGCTTCACCATTGATTTCCAAAGGAAGCCAGCAGAGAAGATGGCAAATATTGGTCAAATATTTGTGAGGCATCAGTCATAAATGAGAGCCAGTTGCCACGCGACCATGGGGGAAGACAGAGTTAATCTTTACGATGAATGGAGATGCTTTACAGAATATAATGTATATTCCAGGGCTGTTATACCTTTGAACTAAGAAATGATCAGGCATAAGTCAAGGACTATCTGTATATGAATGGAAATTATGACTTCTCTTGTAACTACAAATTAGTCCTATATTGCTGAACTGATTTGTTGCATGTGTCATCATAGTATAATATTTGCAAACCAGTAGGGAAGGTAGGTGAATCCCAGCACTGGTGTATACCCTTAATTTTTCTCACAACTTCTCTCTTCGTATTCTATAAAAAATAGATTTAAAATTGGTGATGGCTGTGAAAAGTGAGTCTCAAGGCCAGGAATAATGTTTCTGTGCCAACTAATAGAGAATGAAATAATGCTGGAAAATTTATTAGTCCTTTTGTAACTTAATCTGTTCTTCAGCAAGGATGTTTTCACTCCTA